GATCTGGTAGAGAGGCGCAGTGTAAGACAGCAGATAAGCATTGTACAGGCACGCTCTATTTCACGCGCATATAAATCCTCATAAAATTGTACTACAGTTGACACGTTAAAGTATAAAAGAACGCCAAGTGTCGTGCTTTCCTCTTCTCTCTCTCTCTCTCTCTCTCTCTCTCGCTCTCTCTCTCTCTCTCTCTCTCTCTCTGTCTTTCTGTCTTTCTGTCTTTCTCGGCGAAGATCCACATAACATTAGATGATTGTGAGTTTGTAATTTCATTAGGAGCCTCGGAGAGCGCCAAGCGTTAATGTCGGGACATAATCAGCTTAGCAGCAGGGGAGACGATATTCACATTGTTTGAGAGACGGAGAAAGAAAATGAGAAGTTTAGCGACTACCGTTTTTCCTGAGACGGGAGCACGAGAAAGAGAGAGGAGAAGGGAGAATGCAATCGTTCGAATTACACCTCGAGGCGTACCTCCGAGATTGCTAAATTCCCACTGGATGAGCCTCTGCCTCTCGATTCAAAACGGACCTTCGCTCGATTTTACGTGCCTGTGCTTATGCATCTATTCAAAACTGTCAGGATACTCTAATCAAAATCACTTACTTTTAATCACTACCGCATTTACTTATCGTTATTCCTTAATTTTATTATTAGCCTTAATGCTCCATACCTCCCTGAGTTTCTATACTCTGCAAACATTTGTAATTATTACTCATTCAAATAATAAAGCGATAATAACATTTTTGTTTGTAATAAAGCAAACGATTGTTTAACATGGTTTGTCGAATATCACAATTCACATTCTCTAGAGATAAAATTTTTCCATTTCAAATAAATTTCAAACAAAATAAATCAACATTTAAAAAATATCAAATTACATGTAACTAAATTCTTTAACAAATTGTTTGTTCTTTATCAAATGATTAATGTACTATGTTTTTTAAGAAGATTAAGTTAAGAACATTTAGTTGATTGAATTTGAATTATAAAACAATTGCTAATAAATTAATTAATATAAAAAAAAAAAAAAAGAATATTCAAGCAATCAAATCGATAGATATCTAAATAACAAAAACGAAATTTTATTAAATTTTTCTGATATAAAATACTATACCAGTATGATTAAAATTATAGTCTAAAAGCTCGTATTAAACGTACTCGTTAAGCATTTCCTCGATACCCCACCTGGCTAAACTAAAAGCAACTCATTGATCACTGATCACTACAACTGAATATGTAATAAAGAAGAAAGCATACGTTTGTAGAAAATATCGAAAGTTCATATATATTCATCATTACATCATCGTTTTATATAAAATAAATTTAAATTCCAACTTTTATATAAAAATAATATAACATAAAGATTTTTATAACATGAACATTTTATTAAGTTAGCAGTTTAAAAATTTACAATATTAAATTTCATAATAAATAATAGTCTACATATTTAATATTAAATATTTATTTTACTCTCTTCTTATTAACTTCTATTTGCCTTACTCTCCATAATACACGTATAGTACCATCTTTAACGTTTAGCTCAATAAAAATTTTATTATAGACCTGTGCAATGATTATGAATATATGTATAGGATATTATTGGTTCTTCGGTAACTGAAATAACATAATAGTCTTAAAAATTCAAACATTATTATCAAGCTGTAATATTAGAATATACAAAAGAAATTTTCAAGAATCTACAATTACAATTGACTTGCTATTATATTATTTATCCATATTTTAGGCAAACTTATAGATGATTATAAATTACGCATTATGTTTTAGAAATTAAATACTCATATTGAAAAATAGTGCATTTGTTTTATTCTCAAATTGTTTAACATTATAATCGATGATAAAGTGATTCGACTTTTGTGATAAAGTAGAAAAAAAATTTTTAACTAGATACGTTCGATTAAAATTTTAACACTAAACAGGTCTGTTAAATAATTTATATTTAAATAAAAACACAAAAGTAATAGTCAAAATTATTTATTATACGCTTAAGTTAATAAATTAATCTTGACTTGCATCAACATTTTCTGTTTGTAGTCCCTTAAAAGTAGCAACAGGGATATATGTGACCAATGTATATAATTTGTGTAAAGAATCTTCATCGTCGTTCCTTCTCCTACTCAGTCGTACACGGACACGGAATGGAACATTTCTATAAAATAGATATTTGTATATATTAATTTATATATACGTATATACATAAAGTATCACAACGATTATAATACAAATTTAAAAGAAATTTTTTTGTTTAATATTTCATAGAGTATTTTTGTATGTAAACCAATATAATCAATTGTCCAAAAAATATTTAATTTCAATATGTGAAAGAATTAAAAATAATATATCCGTATAAAAAAATTAATAAAATGAAGATAATTGTTTCTAATAATTATTAAGCAAGTCTTAAACTTGTAAATGTTCTTTCGTTTCAGCTGGAATTCAAATATTGAAATAAGAACAATTTATGATTATAATGACATATGTATTTTCCAGTTTACAATAATTAAGAACACAGTGGCTTCTAGACTTTATAAATATATTTCATCGTTCGCCAATATTGCCAGAATTACAAATAATATAAAATTGCTAATAAACTTTTTACACGTAGTCTGTCATGCGGGCCTACATTTTTACTAAATTATATTACAGTCTATTAAAAATCTTCTTACCGGATGCCCTTTGACCAGAGCTGCTTATTAAGACGAGTATCGATTCTGACATCAGGAGTACCCATGTGTTTCTCTGCAAATTTCCTGATTTCCTTGATTGCCCGTGGTGCGCGTTTCTTAAATCCTACACCATGCAACCTTTTATGAAGGTTGACTGTATATTCACGAGTAACAACATCGTCCATACGAGGACCTTTTTTCTCACCAGTCTTCGCTCGAGGCATTTTGTCTAAAATATAAAGACACACGGTTCTCTAAGTACGTGTTGGCATTTACTAAATTACAACCTATGTGCAAATACAGATTACACATTGCAGATGCAATGCTTCATCAGTACTGTCAATACACGACATAACCTATAAGCTATAAATTAAAAAAGTAAACATTGTATCGAATTAAAAGGCAATTAATTATTGATAATAACATGCAATTTTTCGGTATAAACTGGCGCTTTTATTAATAGTATTTTTCTTGTTTTTTTCAATTGAATAAGGAATTTTTGCTTAAAGAAGAATCGGCCGACAAGAAGAAAACACTATTCCCGTGGACGCGTGAAGCAAATTAGGAATACAGATATAAAATATTGAGATATGTAGGTGTAAAGCAATTTTAATAATATAATTCAACAATTGCGAATTAAATCGATGTAATAATTACTTGGATGTTAATGGATTTTAAATAGATAGAAATTCCCCGTTACCTCTTCGATTAGCGGATTTACACGAAAGAGTACTACAACGTCCAATTCATAAAGCCATCCATTTTTGCATTTAAGAGTTGGTTTCCATTGTCGACGACCGTTAATGATGACTTTGCCAACGCGTTAAAATTCGATAAACAAACGATTTAGAACGTATTGTTGTTAAAGCATTAAATATGGACGAATTTTTCAATTCGTCATCGCTCTGTTACCGCTATATAGGTGTCTCGGCAATGCGCAACTATATTATTTATTTTGTAAAATAAGCCAACTTTAAAAGCTTGTCCAACTCTCAACGCACTCAACACTTATTACAATACCCTTCTTTCTTTGTCTTTATTCAATTTTGATATCATTATCATTATAATTATAATAGTCGTTATCGTTGTTATCATTATTGTCATGTTGGATAAGTTTTATGTAAAACTCGCAACCTACGCATATAATCTGCAAAACAAACAATTGTCGGCGGCGGGGTGAAGTGGGGAAGTGGTTGAGTAGGCGGTGGCAGCGGCGGGGAGTGATTGAGGTAGAGAGTGAGGTAGAGAGAGACGTAATGAGAGAGGGAGAGAGAGAGAGAGAGCAAGCGATTAACCCGCTAAGCAATATTGACCTAATTTTAATGGACCACTAACGATTTTAAAATGAGCACATATTTGCTATCGATGGAAAATGCAATTTTCAAAAAGTATTTCAAACCTCCCCGTTCTGCCCCTCTATCGCGATACTTCGTTACCACGACGTGAGCGTTGAGCGACATTCGACATTAAGGATCAATCGCGTTGCATTAAGTTTAGTTTTGAGTGAATTGAGGAACGATCGAGTCAACAAAAAGAAAGAAAGAGCATTAATGTAGATTGGGTAGAGACGGCGGTAGAGACTGTAGACTGTAAAACATAAACTGTTAACGGTAGAGACTGAAAATCGCAGACTGTAGACTGTGGACTGTAGAGGGACCTAGAGGCTAGGCATACCGAGAAGAATTTCGGACGAGAAATAATATGGAGTCTGTTTAACCTGTAGGCGATGTAGAAGCGGCTGTGTTTTAATTGAACGAAGAACATCTAAGGAATTGGATGAGCGCGCGTAAATAGGGCTAAGGTTTATCAATAATGCCAGCTAAAACGTGGAACGCCGAGTTATGGAAGTCTTGGGATAAACAGGGGAAAAACGAATTGTAAGTGATTGCGCATAAAGAGTAACCGGAGAGAAAGAAAGAAAGATAGAGATAGAGATAGAGATAGAGATAGAGAGAGAGAGAGAGAGAGAGAGAGAGAAAGAGCGAGCTTTAACGGCGTTCGGGACAGCACGCGTATTTCTTTTACCCCTGTCCAGAGACAAATTTCGTTCGCGTTGATTTTGTAAGCTTAAAGCCGGTAACTAGTACTCTTGAATATTCCATTGCCTTTTGTACATACGGCCGATGCCCAAAACTTTGACGGCTATAAACTTTCTCGCTATTTCCATCGTTATTACCAAGGACTAATCTGTCAATTAACAACTGTTCGCAGCCTCAAGCTAATCAAGCTCAAACACAAGGAAGGCAACACCGTAGGTAAGTGTAGTCGATCATCGTTTCACGTCCACCTGTTCATTATAACATTTTTCGTATTACGTTTAAATTGCCCATAATGTACCTGTCGATGGGGGAGTATTCTATAGTTTGAATACGTTTGCCCAACGATGCTACTTATAGTTACAACTTTGGATTTTTAGAATGGAGACGAGGATTGTACGAACTGATTTTGAATGGAATCCATGGGGCTGTAAAGAGGGATGGAGTTGTTACGATATTAGGTGAACTAGTGGTAAGTAAATAATTATGTATAACCATTGTAAATTTATTTATTGTATTATGTATACGTAGTATCATTGCATTATGTTGCTTGTCAAAATAAATAAGCGTATTGTCGTACTTTAGATTAAATGCCAACTAGTTGTTTCTCGACTAATTTAAATCTAATAAACGACAATATATAAAGGACGATGGTTACATTGTTTACTAATTGTATCTTAACGCAGTTACAAACCTTTATTTAACGAATTATAAAAACCAATTAAAGACAAAGCTATAATAATAGGCTATAATTAAGCAAATTAATATTTGGTAATAATCGTTTTACTTTGCGCTAATGAGTTGAGTTCTTTTTGTTTCAGGCTGTGGATGGAGCGATACCTTCTGCAATCGTTGATCTTTTTACACTTATCGATGCAGAAGTACAGGGTGAAAATAGAAGTAATTTTTATTATATTGTAAAGGAATCGGAAAAGGTAATAAATACTTAATTCTTGTTACACTCGTCTTACATTTTTCATATTACAAAATGTGAGTATCGTTATATGCATTATTTGAATTGAATTGTTTATTTCTCCTTTATTTATAGTTTCTTACAGACCGAATATTAAAAGAGCGTCTTGATATTGATACACTTCAGGATGTAGGAACATTGAAAAATTTAAATTTTCAAACAAAATTTATCAAAGTTAAAACAAAACTTTAGTATGTATTAAATGTATAAAGTACTTTTATATTTGAACTTATAAAATTGTTACACCCAAAACTTTTTCTTTTAGTTACAAACAAAAAAAGTTTAATCTCTTTAGGGAAGAGAGTGAGGGATATTCCAAACTCATTGTAGAACTTAATCAAGAACGAACAGAATCAGAAGTGGATTCGGTTTTAGAGATAGTCAAATCACTTATCGGTATAGTTTTGTATACATATTTATTCTTAACCCTTTGACTAACAAATATTCTAAATTTTTAATTAAAAAAGATATTTCAACGTTATTAATCATAAAATGGTAATTGTCATAACAATTGCAAGAAAGGAACGAGTGTGTTCTTCAAAATTATGATTGATTTATAATTAAAGGGTTAAGGGGAAATGATTTGTTATTAATCAAATGCTTTATATATATTTTCATATATACATATTATTTTCAGGATATTTTAATCTCGACCCTAATAGAGTTCTTGACATATTACTCGAAACTTTCGAAAACAGACCACAAGATGATGCTGTATTTATACCTCTCATTCGATCTTATATGAGTGATCAGCAAGTCCTGTGCGAAGTATTAGGATTTAAATATTGTTCCACAACAAACTGTACGCCTTTTTCATTACAAAAACTTACAGCTTTAATGCTTCAACACGAAGTCATCAATTTAAATGATATATTACCTTGGCTTATTCCTGATGACAAAGTAATTATTAAAGATTACGATCAAGATATAAAACTAGCCAAGGAATACGTAAGAAAAATGAATGTGATCTCAACAAAAGATAAAGAAGAAGATAAGGATGAGAAGGAAATTGTTGTGGTATACCCCTTTTTATATAAGTCCGTCAAAAGCTTAGTGATCTAATTTTGTTAAAAAAAAAAAAAAAAAAAAAAAACTATATATTTAAACATTAAAGACATATTTTATGAAGTAATCGATTATACTATTACGGTAGAGTTATTTAAATTTTAATGAAAGTTGGATCACTAATTCTAAGAGAAGCACGTTATTCAATGTTGATATTCAATCTTATCTAATTATTTATTTAAAATGACATATCACACTAGGATAAGTATTCGAACAACCAAAAATTTGGACTTTGCGAAGCACTTTTAGAATTTGGAGCATGGGATGTAACTTCGAATCTTTTTAGTCGTTTTCCTGATTATTGCTTAACAGAACGAAAACCAATTGCATTGGCCCTTTGCCGAATGATTCATGCCCTTATAGAGCCGGTTTACAGAAAGTAAGTCACAGTTAAAAACTTCTATCAATTAATTTAGAAAACGACATTTGACGATTAGAATTGTGTCTAATTTAAATTTGAGTAATGATTTTTTTGTAATTTAAATTTTGTAAAAGCTTTCTTTTCTTTGAAAATAAGAAATAAGAAATAAGTCTGCTCTTTTCATTGAGCATTGAAAATAATTGCAAAATATTTGTTATTCGAAGAAGAAAAGAACGGTTTTTTTTTTTTTTTTTTAATCAATGATGAGAATAAAATTATCTAATTAATTTATCAACTATCCTACTCGTTTTATCCTTATCGTATTTTTCATGTTAATTTGATTTAGTCATTATATTTAGTCATATAATTCATTAAATCATATCTCAGAGAAGCTAAAATATTAAAATAGCTAAAGAATAAAATATTACGTTCATTAACGTCTTGGGAAAGTTAAACTGCAAAAAAAAAAAAAAAAAAAACAAAAAAAAAAACAAAACAAAACAAAACAAAAAACAAAAAAAAAACCCCCCGAATCATATCAACGTGAAAAATATGATGAATAACCCAAAATAAATCTGGATGATAATGGCAGAGCTCTACTTAACATTTGTAGGCATTGTGTGATATCGTCCAAGTTACCGGGGCGCAAGATCCCACCTTTACAAAGCACACTTGCACCAAAGCCATTGAGTCGCCTAGAAGACATTCACGAGCGTTTATTACCAATGCTAATCGCCCTTGGTCCTAATCTCCATCACGATCCCGTTCTAATGTACAAGATCATGCGTCTGTGCCATACCGCGATAAAGCAATGCTCGTTGGACTCGAACAAGCTCCCCATTGTTAAGGACAGCATTCTTTACTGCGACGTCTTGACGATCCTCGACGTCGCTCTTCTTCCGTCCCTCTCCTTCATGGATTGCAACTGCTGCGTCGCTGAAGAAATTTGGAATATCCTTAAGTATTATCCGTACCAGAATCGTTACGCGCTCTACGCGAGATGGAAGAACGACACACCGATGCAACATGCGGCGCTTTTAAGGAAACGCGCCGATGCTCAGAAGAAGATAAAAAATGTCGTTAAGAGAGTGAGCAAGGAAACGATAAAGCCCGTGGGTAGATCCATCGGGAAGTTAACGCATTCGTCCCCTGGTGTGCTGTTCGACTATGTCATTGTACAGATTCAACTTTACGATAATCTAATTGGTAATTACATTGTTGATTGTGTGAAATTCTCTCTCTCTCTCTCTCTCTGTCTCTCTCTCTCTCTCTCTCTCTCTCTCTCTCTCTTTGACTTTTCGTGAGTGTATATGAGGGATCATTGAGGATAGTGATAAAAAATGGATATTAAAGTTCCGTAAATTGCCAGGGAGGAATGTACGTTTTTACGGGAATAATGCTAATAATAATTGTTTGGGATGTTGGCAGGTCCAGTGGTCGATTCTCTTAAATATCTCACTAATATATCCTACGATGTCCTTGGATACTGCCTTATAGAAGCGTTGGCCGGGGCTGAGAGAAATCGCTTCAAGCACGATGGAACTAGCATATCACTTTGGCTTCAATCGCTCGCATCATTTTGCGGGGCCATTTTCAAGAAGTATAACATTGAATTGACTGGATTACTGCAATACGTTGCTAATATGCTGAAAGGACAAAAAAGGTAAGCTTTGCGATCTACGACGTGTACCAACCGTCCGTCAGCCAGTATTTTCAACTATGATAAAAACTATTTCTTTAATTCGCTTTCACTTCTATTATTGAATTTAAAAAACCGATTGATGAAATTGTAGGTTTTCCAATTTTTTTTTTTTTTTTTTTTTTTTTTTTTTTTTTTTTTTTTTTTTTTTTTTTTTTTTTTTTTTTTTTCCTTTATTTTTTCATTTTTTCATTTTTTCTTTGAGCATCGTGATTCTTATGTTATTAAACAGTAAGTTTATTTTTTTTATTTTTATTTTATTATTTTTTTTTTTTTTTTTTTTTTTATTCTATGTTGTTCATTAGCTTGAAATTAATTTTTTACAAATTGCAGACCTATTATTCATTTTTTCATTTTTTCTTTGAGCATCGTGATTCTTATGTTATTAAACAGTAAGTTTAGCTTAATATTCATCAATACGTGAGTCGTTAAACCTTGGTTCTAATAAACGATAACGATATGTTTTATAGTTATGTGTATGAACCTTTAATGCCTTGTCGAAAATTGCAGATCAACGATCTGAATCGATGACACAGCTCGGGCCATACGTTCGGGCGACCATCAACCTTTGCATATGTCCTTTCGTTCTAAATAGTGTTGCGCTAATACCCAAAGACTGACTTGACATTCATCGATGATTCCGTTATTTGGAGAGAAAGTATCCATTAGAAAAGCGTGATACGTTTGCTTTTCTAAATTATATACATATCTTCGGACAGTAAATTTCAAAACAAATAACAAACAAAAAAAAAAAACAAAAAACAAAAAATAATAATAATAATAATAATAAATATAAAAAAAAAAAAAAAAAAATTATAAAAAAAAAATATATATATATATATTGAAACATGTGCGACGAAGATCACTAATACGTCACTTTACGATTGCGGTATTCGTGTTATTTTACGATCAACGTTTAAAGTGAGGAACTTTTGGATTCTACGTCATGTAAAAATCATGTAAATGAATGAAGACTCTGAACTCTCCATAGATTATTTTCAATTAGTTGCTTTTTATTTGCTATAAATAATATAAACAACATTGCGATTAAAGATCGATGCATTGGACTATCATCAAACTGCTGAAGTGTGTACTTTAATGATATAAAAAAAATTGTAACTGTTTGACCATTAGCGAACAGAGTTATCCAAAACTTAAAAGAGCAAATCGCCATAAATCAATTTCAATATTAATTTATTTAAAAAAATATCTACTTAAATTTTTCATTAAAAGATAAGAAATATCTAGTAAATGCATAACCGTCGAACTTCCCAATCTCATCGAAAAAAAATTTCATTTAAGGTGAGAAAATCATTTTGTAAATAAATAAAAATTTAATTCTAACACCATTTACATAACTTATTTGTTCATCTTCTTCTTCTTCTTCTTTTTTTTTTTTTAATATTTACAGAGCTGCATATTAGAAATTAAGATGAGAATTGGGAAATTACTTTTAATCTTTATTGAAAATAATATATAATCATTATTAGCAATGAAAGGACTTGGAGAGGAATGGAAAAGCTGGATAGACGATACGCGTGAAAGTTTTCGTCGATGGAGTGAACGGAATATTATTCGGCTCATCCATAAGATTAAGTGACGATTAAATAGGCATTTATTTAAGTTTGTGAATTTAAACAATTTTACGATAAATCTATTGAATCATGTATTATTCTCTTGCATATTGAGAACAAATGTTCACAGGATGTTTAAGGGGGGGGGGATTTTTTGTTTCTCTGTTTTATATCAAACGCACTGTTTAATTTTATTTTTTTTTTTTTTTTTTTTTTTTTTTTTTTTTTCCCTCAAGAATACGAGTAATTTCAATTTTCAATAACAAAAAAAAAAAAGAAAAAGAAAAAAAAAATTGAGAGATAGAGAAAGAAATAAACTACATTGTAATTAACATTATAAAAAATTATTAACTACAGCATTAATTTAATTTTTATATTACAAGGGCCATCCAATGCTTGCAATTACTTTCAATTAATTATCGTCTTTGCTTATATTTCAGTTTGGATCTTTTAATTTTAAAAGAAATTGTTCAAAAAATGGCGGGTATTGAAGCGGCGGAGGAATTGACTTCCGATCAACTGGATGCTATGGCTGGCGGTGATCTTTTACGAATCGAAGTACTTATATTATTCATTGGAAGTGCAATTAATGTAATAAATATCAATACCTATAATAAACCTCCGCAATTTTTAGGCTGGTTATTTCAGTCAAGTACGGAATACGAAAAAATCATCCCAACGATTAAAGGAAGCTTTGGCTGAACACGACTTGGCCGTTGCCCTTTGTCTGCTCATGGCGCAACAAAAGCATTGTGTGGTCTATCGAGAAACAGAGCAATCGCACCTAAAGCTCGTGGGTAAGTAGCTAGCACTAGGAATAATGGAGAAAGTGTATTAAAGATTGTCTCGACAACTGTCACAAGCTATATAAGAAAATTTTCAAATAATTATCACTGGCTAATTATTTCTCATCGCAGGAAAATTGTACGATCAGTGTCATGATTCGTTAGTGCAGTTTGGCACTTTCCTAGGTTCCACAATGACAGTGGACGAGTATGTCGAGAGGCTACCATCGATTCACTCGATGCTTCAAGACTATCATATCCACGCCGATGTTGCATTTTTTCTTGCCAGGCCGATGTTTTCGCACGCTATAAACGTAAGAAATTACCAGCATTATTTGTATTACAAAAATTTAATTTCACACAGCCCTCAACCCCTCCCCTCCCCCTTCCCAATCCCCAATCCCCAATCCCCCATCCCCCTTTTTTTTTTCTTGACAAAACATTTCATCTCATTAATCTACGTTAATTGTCGCGGTCTTAACTAATATTTATTCTAATGTCTGCGCTCAGATAAAGTATGACGTACTTCGTAAAGCAGATCCAAATTACAAGAAGATGTCTTCGACGACGAAGCAAGCAAAGTATGCGGAAGCTGCGCAAGCAGTAATGGCCCCGGTAGCGCAATCTGTGCGACCTCTCCATCCACTTAAAGTTTGGGAAGATATTTCACCCCAGTTTCTAGTGACATTTTGGTCTTTATCAATGTACGATTTATATGTACCTGTAGATAGCTATCAACGTGAAATTAATAAACTGAAGCAACTGGCCTCGCAGGCTGCCGATTCCAAAGATTTGGTATATATTAGGATTTTTTATTATTTTACATATGCGTATTGATTGTATGTTAAAAATTAATGTCCTTCTGTTTAATGTTTTAATGATAATTTCATTTAGACTGCAAGTAAAGGGAAGAAGGAGCAAGAAAGGTATACAACGTTAATTGAAAAACTGCAAGATGAGAAGAAAAAACAGGAGGAACACGTTGAGAAAGTTCATGCTTATTTAAGGTTATTTAAATTATTTCTAAGTTTGAAAATTGTCATTATGTGTTATTTTATGCTGAATTTCAAATTTTATTGGACTTTTGCAGGCAAGAGAAGGATTCTTGGTTTTTATCAAGAAGTGCAAAATCTGCCAAAAATGAAACGATAACGCAATTTTTACAGCTTTGTTTATTTCCCCGATGCACTTTCACAACTGTGGATGCTATGTATTGCGCCAAATTTGTACATACAATTCATTCATTAAAAACTGCAAATTTTTCCACACTTTTATGCTACGATAGAGTAAGCTTTGCCAAGAAAATAGAAATAATTCGAAATAACGCGTGAGAAATACAATAATTTATTATTTTTAGCTCTTCTGTGATATTACTTACTCGGTAACATCTTGTACGGAGAATGAAGCACACCGTTATGGCAGATTTTTGTGCGCCATGCTAGAAACCGTAATGAGGTGGCATTCTGAAAAAGCCATATTTGATAAAGTAATCAAATCTTTAATACTTGCGATTTTATTATAATCCACGCTGCATTATAAGCTCACGATAATGAATTTCAAATTACAGGAATGCAGCAATTATCCAGGTTTTGTAACGAAATTTCGAGTTAGCAATCAGTTTTCGGAAGCCAATGACATGGTGGGATTCGAAAATTATAGACATGTTTGCCACAAATGGCATTACAAAATCACGAAAGTAAATATAAGAGAAATTTATTATGGCTAAATGGTTATTGGAAAGGCTCAATAAAACTTTATATTTTAGGCAATAGTCGTGTGTCTAGACTCAAAGGATTATGTACAAATTAGAAATTCGTTAATCATATTAATCAAAATTTTGCCACATTTCCCAGTTTTGGCTAAACTTTCTCAAATACTTGAAAGAAAAGTAGAAAAAGTTCGCGATGAGGAACGTAATAAAAGGCAAGATCTCCATGTTTTAGCTACATCATATTGTGGACAGTTGAAAGCCAAAGCACCTCAAATGATTCGTGAATCCGATTTCCATCATGTTGGTGACAAAGTAATTATTAATAATTTTGCTTATATAGATGATACACAATCGTATTATTTAGAGAATCTCGGAGAAGATGCTATTCTTCAAGAGAAATTTAGCTTAACAGAAAATTTATTTTCTCACATTACTCTGTTGTTTTAGATATGTAACATATGTTACAATAGTAAATAATTTATTTGGAAATTCGTTGAAAATATTGTCCTTTGAAAAATTATCCTCATTATGCTTATAAGCATAGGAATTTTTTTTCATCTACATTTTGATATTCCTAAATTTTGTAAAAAAAAAAAAAAAAAAAAATTTTTAATTAATGTTTACTACGATTTTACTGATAATTTTGCAAAAAATTAATATTACTGAAAAGCAATACAATTTATTCAAAGTTTTATGACATATTTATACATTTATATTTTTATATTCTACCGATGGTATTGTATTAAAAACTTAAGATTTTAGCATTTACATCATTTATTATAGAATTCTAATTCGATTATTTATTGTAAAAAAATAAATCCTAAACTTTTTCTACAAAGTCCATGAAAACAATTGCGTAATTTGTTAAAATTTATAAAGAAATACGTATTTTTTAAAAGGCTGCTAAATCATCTGAAACGACGAGTAGTGAATCAAGCGTCGACAAAGTGAGTAATGGCGTATCGACCAAAGAAGTTAATAATGGAGATTCTCGTTCAGAAAAAGAAAGTAAAGATCAGCGAGAAAAACGAAATACTAGTTCCAATCAAACTTATCAGTAAGTAAAGGCATATTTTGTTTTTCCTCGATTTTTCACGAGTAAATATATATATATATATATATATATAATTTTTTTTTTTTTTTTTTTTTTTTTTTTTTTTTTTTAGTGAAAATTCCGAGAAAAGTAGAAAACGCGAAGAAAGCAGAGAAGCTTCGGAATCGAGGGAAAAATACTCGAAAAAAGATGACTATAAAGATGACGACTTAGCAGACAAAAAAGATAGAAAATACTACAAAGTATATAATTTATATATTTTAGTTAAAGAAAATTATTAAAGAAAACTTAAAAAAAATTTACAGGAAGACCACTACTATAGCGGGAGTGCGGATAACTTTGATCGAGATCTTTCCAGTGTTTCTAATAGCAGTACCAGTTCTGGACCAATGGCCGATGGTCCTGACAGAGGTAACATAATAAATATAAATCTAAAATACGAAACACCAGGTTGCATCATCGAAATGTCATTTATCTTAAATTATTCCTATTAATATACAAAATGTAAAAAATTTAATTCTTAATTTGTTGTATTAATGCTGCTGATTGACAGAATATACTTACAATTAAAGTTTTAATAATTATTTTAACAATTAATTTTCATACATTACTATCATTGTAAAATTATAAATTAATTTTACAAATTAATTAGAACGTTTGCTTAATGTTCACGTATCTGCTTATTCTTTTGAATTGCGTGAATAAAAGTATTGTCGTCCAATAAGATTGTTTAAATTTATTTTTAGAAACAAAACGAAGGAAAGTGGATAACAGTCAAAAGGTTTGTAAACGTAATTTTATGTTCTTATGAGCCCTATATTACGTTATAAATAGTTTCAACATCAAAACACAATATTGATATAGAAATTTATCTTCTAAATGTGCTTCGTTAACATATTCCGAATCACTTAAAATAATTGTTTTTTTTTTTTTTTTTTTTCCCTGTATTCTCGTTCTTAATAGTATGCATTTCATTAATAAAAGTAATCTAAATTCTGTATATTATTGTTGAAAATTATAACGTATATGTATATGTTTTAATAAATTGTTTAATAATGAACGAGACTCTTTCAGGAAACCAGGCGAACGGATGTAACTACAGAGAAGAAAGAGCGTTCGTCGGCTAAAGCCAAAATGCGAGAAGAGCAAAAGGAATTACGTAGGGAAAAAAAATTAGGCAGGAAAAGAGTAAATACTTGTTTTATTGCTATATATATAAATTTTGTATTTGTGATTTACGTAAACATTTTTACAGGACAGAGGAGATGAATTATTAATTTCCGCCGAACAAAAGAGAAGAAAAGATGATGACCGGGGTGTGTAATTCCATATCTTTTAATATTTTTTTTTATTTTTTTTATCGATACATTATAAAATATCGTTCGACGATTCTCTTAATTTATTTTGAATTATGGATAAAATTCCTTCCTTTCAGCAAAGGGAACTCATCAAAACGGTGACATGCCCGAACACAGGGAAAAGCATCACTACAATAAGGTTTGTAAAATGTTACAATAACAATATTAATATCATTTTCATTTATATTATTATTGTTGTATCATAATATTATCTCAAACAATGCTCCTTATGATTACATTTTCCTAAAAAATATTAAGTATTCAACTTTTCGTTTGCATGATTTTTATAATTTTAGCGCAACTCGAATTTTTTTTGTATCATTGAAATAATCTGCTAATTTCTAATCAAAAAGGCACTGGACAAAATTGATGAATATTTCAGAATTAAGAAACTCGTTAAAAAGCTCTTTAGAAATTATGAATAATTTTTTCAATACGAAGAAGCTGAAATTTAGTATGTAATCGTAGATCAATACAGTCGTTCGCTTCATTTATGTGTGTATTTACAGGACACTCGTATATTGTTAAAGTACGCTTGAAAATGTTTAGACTAATAAATAATTACTATGATAATAATAGCTATACAATATGAGTTTATATATAATTATTTGGTGGCTTAGAATAATTTACACATTTCGTTAATACTAAATTATATAATTTTTTATAATTATGGAATATTATATTTGTTATAACACTGTTGATAGCTATTTTTCGAAGTAAAACTTATGTAAAGTAGGGATAAAAGTTTTCAAATCTCTTATGGATTTTGAAGAAAAAAAATACTGAATTTCAGTCATTCGTTGCTATAAATAGTAAAAAGTTGGAGAAAATTGTTTTTAATTTCTCAATGATGAATTTCCAACTATACATAATTATTATTTATTTTTGCTTTTTGTTAAAAATAAATATAAGCTCCTGATGATCTTGTTAACAAAATCTTTATAAAAAACACCGATAACGACAAGAACAGCCGAGGTTGCGTTAAAAAAAATTTTATCTATTCAATAGTTTTATAGTCAGCTGCACTTTAGAAAGAGGAGAAAACTTTACCCAACGATGCTCTGTTTATTTTCAGGAAAAGTCACCGTATACGAAGGAGCGAACACATGAACGGGAAGGACGTGAAACCCGTGATAAACAATATCCTTTAATATTTATTACAACTGCATTTATTTGAAAAATAATGACAGTACAATAATTTTATTTATTTTTTAAACTATTATTATTGAATTTTTCTCTTTATGATGCTATATTTTTTCATGATTTATTTATCATATTTGGTGATGAAATGTAAAAATTATTTTCTTATTTTAAATAAGTTCTTTCCACGAACATTTATCGTTAACGTATAATTAAAATTTTAAATTCAATAATAATCGATATGTAGAATGGTATAAAATGAGCATTATATTTTAATTAATTACATTTATAATTCGCAACTTTTATATACACACAATGCAATAGAAATAATGAATGACAATTTTTTCTTAACTAATAATTACTAGGAGAAGTTCCGATCCCAAACGAAGATGATGTAAAACAGCGGATGGACTTTAACTTACATTTTATATTGCTACGTTTAAATGTTGTATGTAATTAATTTAGAATTCAACAAGTAATAAAGGTAAAAATAGTGATTAATTTGTATATTACGTTTACGCCCAGTTTTTTTAAATAAAAAATACTTGAAATGATTTCTATCATGATTCTTTACTTTACACAGTCAGATATCTATATATTTATATATATATATTTATTGTTGTTGTTGTTGTTGTTGTTGTTGTTGTTGTTGTTATTATTATTATTATTAAAAGAAATTACCAATGCTAATTAAATTAATAAATAAATAAAGTATTGTACATTTACTGAGATGTATTCGTAATAAAATTAAAATAATATTGGTCTGCTTTGATACTTTCTTCCTCCAAACGACGAAGACGCATTTTGGCATCTTGTAGGATATCCTCCGTTGAACTGTTTTCACTAATTATAGTATTAGTATTCGTAACTTTTATAATCGATGGCATTTCCACCTTGTGAGATCGTAATTGCGTTTCTTCCAATTTACGTAATAAATAGACAACTCTTGATGTAAGTTGTTCTATACGCGATTGCTGTTCTACTACTAGACCATTTAAATCTTGTTTTTCTTGGCTGAGAATGTTTCTTTCATTGCGAGACAGAATGAAACTTTCAAAATCCGTTTGTACTTCCGCATCTTTAAGATTATTATTAAGTGTTCGATCTGCGTAGGGAATTTCCTTCTTAACTTTTGTAAGCTCATTCTGTAATTTTGTCAAATTACTTTCAAAATGTCGATAACTATCGCGTTCTTTCTCTAATCTGTAAAAAAAAAAAAAAAAAAAAAATTGAAAATAATAAAAAAAAAGAAATGATAAAAACTCACAAATGCTAAATCAATTTTAGGTTAAAATTAATGTTTGGTTATTTTATGGTTATTTAAATCCACTGGACAAAAGTGTCTCAAAATTTATACCTATTTGCTTCCTGGGAGAGTAACTTTTCCCTAGTTGATAATTCTGTTTCTCTTTGCAAAATTCGCATATTTTCTTGTTGTATATTATCTTTAAATTCCTTTTCTTTTACATTGTAGTTGTATATCAATTTCTAAAAAATAGACAATAGTAATATAACGTAAGGAATAAGCTGAACAATCTCAGTAAGCAATGCTAATTAAAAGAAATAATAAAAGAAATAAGAACCTCCGCTTGATCTAATTTATTTTGCAACATTAATAATTGCTCTTCCATTATTGCAGCTTGTTCTTTTAATTTGTTCTCTTTTCGCTGTAACTGGGCGGAGAACAAATGCTTTTGTTGAATTAACTTTTTCTTAGCCACTATAATTTTAGATTTTTCTTTAGATACGACATTTTCAGCTTCTTCGGTTTGCATCGCTCTATGCTCGACATTATTTGCTTCGCACCGTTCGTTATTTTCATTAGAAAAGTTAATGTCGGTTGGCTTGATTTGTCGTAATAAGCAAAGAAGTAAAGGCACATCGTTCTCCGCATAGTCTTTTAAAATACTTTGGCCTCTGTCTTTCCGAGGTTCTATTCCTAAAGTTTCTAATACATGACAGACGTAGTCGCTCTGTAATTTTTGCTTAACTTTCCCATGATTTTCGTCGGTACCTGATTGCGTACACTTTACATTATTAAAATTAATCAAAAGGGGCGCTTCGCTTGAAAATACCGACAATGTATAAACATAATTATAATTCCAAAGGTAATCAGCTACAAGCAAATCATAAATATACTGCTTGGCTGATTTGGCAGTGTTCTTTTCAAACGTTTTAGACAAATCTTTGTTCCTTAAAGCCTTGACCAAATTGTACCTAAGGTGAGTTCGAATATTAGAAATGATTCCACACTTGTCGAACCTAAGAAGAAAAACGAGACTTTAATTGGGTAAATCGGCGACGCAAGTAAACATAAACATAACCTGTGCGAGTCGTTGAAACGACAATCTCTCTCTCTCTCTCTCTCTCTCTCTCTCTCCCATCTCTCCCATCTCTCTCTGTCTCTCTACACGTAACATTCAAGTTAATTTAATAAATATGGAATAGTTCCTACCACGAATAGACTGTGGAGTAATCAGCTTCCATGGCGCTCTCCATTCTCACATAAAAATGTGAATTTAAAAACGAGGCACAATTTTAAATGTACAATCACCATAGATCGATAATTTATGACGAGAAACGGGTTTCGTTGGCAGTTGCATGTAGGGAGGAGGAAGCACAGGTCAAAGTAGTTAAGCCTCTGACCAATAGAGGATAGATAATTGGCTAATAAGTTAAATGACCGATGGTAGCTCTGGACAATTTAGGTAATCGAGGAAAAATGAGTTAAATGGGAAAACAATGTTATTGTTATTAATTATTGTTATTAATAATGTGTGTTTACAACGAGGGCTTTGTATATATGTAAATATCATAAAATCGTAGTGTTTAATAAGGCCGTAGATAAGAAGCTGCGTTTACCGATAAGAGAAGCAAAGTTATTATTGCCGTTGAGTATGTGTGTCTAATGGATAAATTGCAGGGCATTCCAAAACCATTGGATCGGCAGGCACAGGCTTCAATAATGTGACCTCCTACCTAAAATTATAAATTTTCAAATTAACCCCACTGCCCCTAAATACCGCAATATTATCACTATTATGATTATGCGATTGTAATAATGACCTTTTGGGTGAAGCAGCCAGTTGGGATTGCATGAGCCGTGCCCTCGATCACCTTACCGCAAAAGTGCGTACTGTTTACGACTGAATTTTCCCATTCGTCGGGGTGGGGAAAAGGTCGACAAGTAGTCGCACGTCTTATTAGCAACATTGATAAATATTTGTTTAAACTTTAAACTTACCAGCCCCGTTAAAATTGTACGTGTATTTAATGCAACTGTAGCCCGCTCGTAAGAGACAATAAAATTCCGATCGATTTTCATTTATCCACATGTGGGTAATATTTGGAGGTTTCACGCTTACTGAAGCACAAACGTTTATTTATAATCAATTAAGCAGTCCTGGGGCTGAGGATAATTCGATTAAAATTATCTCAAATGATGGGGGAGGCGCGTACTTTCAAATGGTTCGATGCAAGGTATTTCCTTATACGCCGTGGACGAACAATTAATATTTGTATTATTGTCGAATGTTGGACCGAGCCACGAAAAGCGAAAGCACTTTGGTTCTTCTCTCTTCGCCAAATTATTTAAATGTCCCAATCCTAATCCTCAAACGCATAATAATTATGGAAATAATGTTTGTAAATAATGATTGTAAACTTACCTGTGACACAACGAAGTGGCATAAACATCATGAAAATGAAATAATTCATTTTTTACGTCCCATGAGAAGCAATAATAACACGCACTAATAAAGAAACGATTTCGATATTCATTATCATTTCGCTGATAAGGTATCGCGATTAAACGAACGCCAATTTACAACGAGATTGTCGTAAAACTGACAAATAAATTCAATGCAATTTGGAATTGATTATTTTCATTTTTATTTTCCTTTTCATTTTCATTTTCATTTTCATTTTTATTATTATTATTTTTATTATTATTATTTTTATTCATTTTTGACAATTTTCTCGAGCTGTTATCTGTAAAAATATAAATGACTAACGATATAAAATGCCGTAGTACTAATTATTACTAAGCTATTAAAATATGTAATAATTATTCAAATGACTAATTCTGGCACCAGCCAAGTGCATTAAGCTATCGAAGAAGAAAAAAGCAGTAAACAAGTATTTAACTATTAAAATACTAGAAATGCACTCGAGTTGATAAATAGATTCTAATAAACATTTAATATAAATAAATAAAGATCTTGTCATTTTTAATAATAAATTTGGCTCTGTTGATAAAGATCTTTAAAATTCGTCGTGTCTAGTGAGGGCTTCGCCGAAATCAGTCGCTTGGGAGCCCACGAATATATCGTATTTTTCTAATATTTCTTCTTTTGTTAATTTTTGGTCCGCGTCGGAATCGGCTTCGTAAATCAGGTGGCGAGCCTCCGCTTCGGCATGATCAAAATCAGCTGGTATAATCCAATCTTTAACCTTAATCGTATAAATATTATATTATAATGATTATTACGGAAGATAAAATTTAACGATACTTTGTTGGTATGAAGATATTGATATGAAGAATTACCTCTTCGGTATCTAAGTAGCCATTCGCATCCTTATCTCGATGAGCTGAAAATTGTTCTTGTTCGTTTGTCACCCAGTCTGGTACTTCCTCTCCTTGTACAGCTCTGTACATATCACCTAAAAGCCATATTATTAAAAATTATTATTTTAATTTAATTGAAAATTCATGCTTATTATTTTATATGTATATATATATATATATATTTTTTTTTCTTTTTCAATAAAATAAAACTATTATAGCCAATTCGACAAATTTATTATGTGAATCATCTGATGTATCTGTTAAGACATAAAAATGAAGGGAAAAAAAAAATGAAGGGAAAAAAAAAATGAAGGGGAAAAAAAAAAAAAAAAAAAGGTATATATGTATAGACATGAAAAATGTATAGAAAATTGGTACGGTACTTTGTTGCATCGATAATAGATTATTTTGCACTAATAAGAAATATTAACTTATGCTTGTCGGGTCAGTGAATATTAATTTCAAAATTACTTATAATTAAGGGTTTTGAGTTTAAAATTGTTGAATAATGAACTTGCCAATATATTCGTCCAGTGAAATTTTGCCATCTCCATCCTTATCGATATCTTCGATCGTTTCTAGTACTACGACATCTTTCATATACTCCCTTTCTTCCGGATGCAAGAAGGCAGTGAATTCTTCTTTTGTTAAGGCATCGTCTCCATCTGTATCTGCAATGGACCATCGCCGCCTCTCTCGTTTCTGCATAGTGGCATAAGAGTAATTCTTATCATCCTTATCCGTGGACTCAGCATCTTTCTCGTCTAGAAAACCATATATCATTTTACGGTACTCTTCCCACGTTATTTTTTCTTTATCTTCCTCATTGTGCGACTTCCATTGTCTGTCGACGTCGTCGCGAATATAACGTTGCTGCGTATATCTGATCCAATCCCTCAATTCTTCTTTGGTGACAAAGCCGTCGGTATCCTTATCAATCTTATCCACTATTAATCCCAACCTTCTTGTACTTTCTTCTGGGCTTAATTGCTCAAAGGTTTTAGCTTCTTCTCCCAAAAAAGCTTCGTGATCGTAGGCTGGATTATGATGAGACTCCACAAAATGCTCTTGGTTGCTCAGGTCCTACAAATTTTAACGTTAACGTCTAATTCTTTATATCATTAGGAATTAATATTTAAGTTTTCATAAATGAAGGTCAATGAAATTGCATTCAATATTCAATGTCAATAGTTTTTAATGCAATATATTTGTATATATATATATGTGTGTGTGTGTGTGTGTGTGTGTGCGTGTGTAAATATGAATGATTTTTTTTTTTAAAATCAATATCTGCTAATGCGTTTTATAATTATTTTAATCTCAAATTTTACCACCTCGTTTGTATACCAAAAGAACACCCAAAACAACAGGTTATGAACGACATAGAATAATAAAATGATGAAAATGTCCTAAATATACTTAAATCTCACGAATGGTAAAAGAGAGCGCACAATGAAGAATGATTGACAATCTGAAAAACCGAGCAAATAATAAAAAAGGTAAAATTATTTATCCATTACAGTAGGGATCGGACTGTCAGTTAATTATTGCCGGCGAGTCAGAAGAAAAGCTTATCGAATAACGTTATTATCACCGGGGGCTTGGCCGATTGCTGAATCAGAGTGGATCGGTGAAATTTAAATAAAGACAATCCTATCCGCCAACTTTACCTTATCGAAAACACGCTGACTTTTGTCATCCTCGATCTTAGGGATGGCGGTTGCGGCGACGATCGTCGCGACCAGCGTTTGCATCAGGATGGCTCTCATACTAATATTGCTGTAATTCGTAGCCGACACAAATTCAGGTGCCAAACGAGTCCGACGTCCAATAACGTAAAATCCCAATGACTCGGACTAGTTTGTGCAATTTGCCTACCGATTAACCGATTAACCGACCGATTAACCGACCGACCGACCAACCCACCGACCAACAGACCGACCGACCGAACGACCGACCAACCGACCAATGTTTCGTGACGCGAGAGGAACGTACGACGCTCGGGAATTAAGCGGGGGAGAAGCGAAGAAAAACAAAAGAAAAATAAGCGACGATCAGAAAGAGGCGGCAAGCTCGTCCCAGAAGCTCTTTTCTCGGAGTGACTCAGCTATCAGAATAGTCCGCATAACGAACAGCGGGTTACGCGAGTGTGCGGATAGCGGTCGAGCAGCACTTTTTCCTTTCTCGCCGCCGTCGCCGTCGCCGCTACCGCTGCCGCCGCCGCCTTCGTAGCGCGCTCCGGAACTCCTCCTACGTGGGCTCGTCGCCGCTCGACGCCAACATCGACAAAACAAAACACATTTAAAGCCAGTCGGAGACCCCCCGCCATCCGAACCGCCATCACCGCCGCCACACCCCCCCCCCCCCCCAACCCCGACGCGCACACACCCGCGCGCGTTTCTCATCTCTTTTACCATGGATTTTCTCCTACGAGTCTTTTATTACGCTTTCATCCCGGGGTGGTGCTGGGGTGAGTGAACCCCGGGTGGTTATCCTTTCGGGCCGAATGCGACGGAATTAGGTCTTAGAATTTCGACCCTCTATGTCAACTTAATCGACTCTCTCGCCCCTGTCACTTATATCGTCGTCCCGTTATAATTTATTCGTCCGGGAGTCGCCGTTGCTCCTTTCCACTTAGGTAGATATTTGCAAACGGCCGGGAAAGAAAGTCGCCTGGGCTATTTCAAATTACTTGTCCCATCTCGTAATATTAATGGAATTACGGCGTTTCTCCTCGCCTCTTGATTCACATACCAATGCTCCACCTCTCTCACCTCTCCATTTCTACCAACAGAGGTATAATTTTTCATTACGTAACATCGGTTATTCGTCGGAACCCAGCTCCTATTTCTACCGTCCCATCCCCACCCATTCGCCATCGCCCCGCTAAATAAACATTATTACATGGAGTAAAACGTGCGTTCGATCGCCAATGAAAAACGGAAGGGCTTGTTGGGGAGGACGGGGCCGATAGTCGCTCGAGTGCGCAATCCAAATATAGAAAGTCGCGGTGACGGTGTTGTCAGACACCGCGGTGATGGCGGAGGGATGGGGCGATGGGGCGATGGGGGAGGGGGGGCGAGGGGGGAGGTAGTGGCGGAAAGTTGCTTTCCGCGGTAGGATCGGGAAAAACTAGGGCCGACGAAAGTCGAATGTAAAAGGGGCACCGAATCAGATTCTCCTCTCTCTCTCTCTCTCTCTCTCTCTCTCTCTCTCTCTCTCTCTCTCTCTCTCTCTCTCTCTCTCCTTCTCTTAGTGGATGGAAGTATTCAACGGGCTCCGCTTCGCGCATTTTTTATCATTAATCGGCTGCTCGCCTAAAACGTTGGGACGATCTGCGCGAACGACGTAGCCGGCCGACGATCTTCCCTCGAACGTTCCGCGACCCGCGATATCGCCATCGTGTGCCGTACTTTCGTCTCGTGTTCTCGTCTCGTGCTTTGCCACGACGTCACCCGGCTGGCGCTGGAGGGGCAAAGTGACAAAGTGACCAAAGCGGCTTTGGCGTTGGTAGCGTTGGTGATGATTTAATATGACGAGGAGGCGCACGTGGCAGGGGAAATGCCGTTGGTGTCGCTTGCGCGTGCCCCGTCGCGAGATCCAACTCGATTTATCCACTCGCTAATGTCGTATCGGCGACAGGGCGAGGGAACGGCTTCGACTAACGGCGTTTAGCGACGTTTTATAGTGTGGGGTAATCGTTTGATGGTGAGCGCGGCCCACACCCGTATAAGGAGGAACCTTAGCGTACTGTATTTATTGAATGCACCGTCGACAAAACCGGAAGACTCGTGCGAGAAAGTCGATTGTTGTTGAGCATTGAGCGATGATAATGTAAAAGTGGCTTGGAATCAGCTTTCGTACCGGTTTCTAAGTACAGTCATTTTTGTCACGTCGAGCTCTAAAAAAAAAAAGAAAAAAAATTATTTATTTATTATTTTTTTTTTTAACGCCTCCTACAATGAAATTGCAGCTCATACTGCACAGTGTTTACTTTAACAAAATTATTATTTACAGCATCCGACCTACGCACGTACCTAAAGTTTTCGTATCGTCAATTTAATGGGCCTCTATATGACATGATTAAAGCAGAAAAAAAAAGCGCAATCAGAACGTGATTTTAATGGCCTTGAATATGAGATTAAAGGACAAAGACCGAACAAAGTACGCGAGAGGGAGAGAGAATGGGAGAGAGAATCAATAAAAGGCAGATAGAGGATATAAATTAAAAAGAGAAATGAATGAAAGAAAAAGAGGCCGAGTTATAGAGTAGTTTCTTGACCTCGGTAATTTATACCAATAACTCATTTCACTTATGGCGCTTAATTCCACAAATAATTTTCAATATTGTACTTGGATATTTATAAATTTCGTTCCTTGCATAATGAATATCGAAATATTGCTAATCAAAGCGAGCGTGCGTGTTTATAAGTTCTAAGTAATAATTCATAGGCAAGCATATCGTAAATTATTTATTTATTTTGTAAAATCTGATTGCTTAAGGTCTTAATACTTGAAATGTGTTTGCCAATCAAATGCAATGAAAATTATTTTGCTAAAGGATATTCTGGAAAATATTATTTCATCCAATTATTATATATCTATTAAATTTACAGAAATTTTATTATCGTGACATTTGCAAAATAAGCCATCGTTAAATATCACATGCAATGTACATCATTAATTTATTAACTGACTAATTGAGTAATTAACGCTTCAACTTTCTTCGTAATATTAGAAACAAGCATTATTAATGTTACGAATGAACCTTATTTTTATCATTTTATCATTTATATAAATTATTATGATGAGCACATTATAGATAGAGTAGGCCAATTTGAGTAATTGGCATTTCTAGATCGATAGTAAATTACAAAACTTGCGGTTCACCTTTGGCAAAGTATTAATTAAAAACAAATATTTTACTTTCTTAGATTAGATGATGATGCCTTTAATATCCATCCTATTCCTATTAAAATTCTACTACTTATATGCTAACAAATAACAATGGCTTTAATATTATAATATAAAATATACAATACTCATACGAAACATTATAAATTACACTGTACAGTCTAATATAATTAATTATTTTCATATAAATAATAATATTGATTGCAATCCTTTTCAGGACGTATACTATAATGATATTTAATAAATTATTTCACATTCTTGTGTGCGTGCGCGCGTGTTTATATTAACAATAACAGCTTACTTTAAAAATCATATTATCTTAGGACATAAAAGAAAATTAGAGTAGGCACAATGTGAATGCATGAAGAAAGTCGAGTGATTTATTGAAAGTAAATTTAACATCGTTTCAAATTAAATTTTACCCGTTACGTTCTTAATAAATTTACACGAATTATTAACAGATTGCTTATACTATTTTCAATTTAATTTCGACTGTAAATTGAATATAATATTTAAGTTTAGTATAAATATATTATAATATTAAATTTATTCATTTAATTAATTAATTTCAGAGATAAGACTAGCTTAAAGTGAAAATGAATTGAATTAACTATTATAGTTGCGCATATGTAAAAACAATTTGCACGTTACAGTAATGGAGCATATAGTTTTTAATTAATAGTTGTAATTGAAATTAAATTTTAATACATCCATATTGAGCGATCGATATCAATTATGAAGGTATGATGTATTCAAGATTTTTCATAAATATTATATCAATTAATTAACACTAATTAGTTTGAGTAATTTATGCACTATTGATAAAAGTTGAGGATACAATTGGAATAAAAAATTTAAATATAAATTTTCATTAACATTATATATCGCAATCTTTTTTTATTCACAAAAAAATGTTATCATATTTCGCCATTTGAGCTTTGCTCTAATTATGAGCACTTTTGACTTTTCCGACACACTTTTATTTAATTAAAATTTACATCATAGATACGTAATACTATATAACGCAAAGCCAACTTATCTTCATCTCTTAAACTCAAATCTACGCTCGTCTGCTTCGTGCGATTAATTCTCACCTGTGCACCTTTGTCCTTTATCATACATACGCGCGCGCGCGTCTATATATATATATATATATATATATATATATATATATGTATATGTATGTATGTATGTATATGTATGTATATGCATATGTATGGTGCGCGCGCGTGCGCGCGCGCGCGCGTGTGTGTATAAGTGTATGTATGTTTGTGTATGTATATGTATATTTATATGCATATGCGCGCGCGCGCGCGCGCACACACACACACACACACACACACATATATATATATATATATATATATATATATATTTACAAAAGTACTATGATACATATTAAAGATTGAATTTTGAAATTTGTGCATATATGCATGTGTCATTAATATATAAGTACTTTCTCGTGTATGCAGTCAAGATATTGTGCAGATTTCGCGTTTTTTTATTTATTTTTTTTTTCTGTATTATTTTGTTTTTTTTTTTTCTGTAATGTAATAAGATATATTTATTTATATATATATATACATATATATAATCCATGTATAAGGCAAGATATAGTCTATTCTCCACATATGAAAGAGATAAACGTGCGTCCACTCGAGCATAAAAAGAGTTAAAATTCAATTTGCAAAAATGCACGAGCATATTTATGATGAGTTATAAATTAAATACATAACAGCATTCTATTAACTATCTAACTTCGCTATAGCCGAAGACTTTTTATTACATTTCTGCTTAACATAATAAGATAAGAGAAAATTAAAAAAAATGCCCTTATACTCATTGTGCATGATTTTTCGTTTATTTCAAAAAGTAAATTGTATTATCAAAAGAATATACGTTACAGATTATAAAATATTTTTAATTATTTAATGTAACATTCAAAACAATGTATTGTCTATTACAAATCAAAAAATATATATGCATGATAATCTAAAAATTTCATCCATGTACAACATTGCGTAGAATTTAGTAATAAATTGATTTAACATTAAACTTACATTTCTTTGCTACGAGTAAAATTTTATCTTTCTCTTATTACTATCGAAGAAGTCTTTTTTTTTTTTTTTTTTTTTTGCACATATGGAAATAAAGTTTAGCGTGCATAGTATTTGTTCATCGTGAAGATGATAAAAAAAAAAAAAAGAAAGAAAGAAAAAAGAAAAAAAAATTGTATAAAAAATTTGACAATTAGATACATCTAACTTTTACAATTTGATCAATATTGCACTAAAATATCTGTAAAGTCTTTATTAAATTAAGGCTACGGGTATTGCCTAAGCCGGATGTTACTTTATTTCATATAATGTTCGGTAGGAATTGTGTTATTTGTAATATGGCATTTCTGTGATAGAGTATACATTGAAATTGATGCTTATCGTACAAGAACGATCATTGCTTATTTAAAAACTTGCAACTGAAAAAAATTGTCGGAAGAAGATTTATTCGTTTAAATGGCTAATATTAGGTAGAAAATTATGTTTTAATTTTCCAATACAGTAAAGATAGCTTTTGCATTTCATGGCGTTGCTTCTTTATAATCGACTTATCATCCATTAGAAAACAAATAATATTAAATCATCTATATTTTAGGGCTTAAAATTAATAATTTCTATTGATTCACAATAATTGGCAGTTTTACATTATTAAATGATATTAATTACTATAATATTATCTAATTGTATATAATTTTTTTTTCCGATATCCATTCATAAAATTTCTTTCAACTATTACAATAATACTTTGGTCAATATGTTTTTGAATTTTTCATTGCAGGCACTTTTACAAATTCATTTTAAAATGCCATATTACATGTGCTATTTCAGCTACGATATATAATTATTACGAAGTGATCTATTCATATTTTTTTTTTTTTTTTTTGTTCATCGAAACAACGCTGTCGTCATAAAATTTTTACAAAATATCATAGAATATTAATTTTGTATTATCCATTCGTTCTTCATTACTTAAATATTAAAAATTGCTTACACAATCTAATTACACATTTAAAATATACAATAGTTTTTTTTTTGTTGTTTTTTCTTTTTTTTTTTTTTTTTTTTTTTTGTAATCTAACTTAAGAATATTCAAATGTCTCTCTTTTCTTCATTACGGGCCTTAATGCCAAAAAATTAATAAAAATGTGGCTATAAACAGCTCGGTATTTCTTAAATTTCAGAAAAACATAACGTATTATATAATATTTAATCGTCAAAAATCATTTAACAACACTAATAACATTCATTTACTTGCCTATAATAATAGTTCTGCATTAATAAAAGATCTTTTTTAATAAAATTCATTAGTTAAAGTATCATCTAACAGCGAATAACAAATTTATTAATTACATACAGTTTTGAAATTTATTCTTTACAAATGCGACTTCATTCTTTAAATTATAATATTCAAGACATTGTTTTCTACATAATGTTTTAAAAGTTATTTGTAAAGGTTTGCACGATTGACTTTACGTAATTCATTGTTCATTTGAAATTAATTCACTTATATTTAAAATATTATCATAGCTACAGATACATGCTTTATACAGTCAATATATATATGTGTGTAAAAAGCAACGTGTCTGGTAAAAAAAAAAAAAAAAAAAAAAAAAAAAAAAAAAAAATATAATAGAATTGATTTTTGCATAAATATGAGGCATTGTTTCAATATAGGGCATGTACGCGCATAATTTAATTCACTCTCATTTTCATTGCATTTCTAGATTAACGGATACTTGATTGAACTGTCGCCATTTAAATACACTCGACCGTTAAATTACGATTTGATAAAATTTTCCAAGCATTAAACTTAAGAACTCTCTGAAAATTCGGACAAGCTTGATCGTCGTAACATTACTATTAGATTAGAGGAAAATATAGTCTCTAAATTTTTCTAACCATACGAACCTTTACGAATCTACGAGGATATTTAAAGCCAACTTCACCATCTAAATGCATCAATATGACATCGCATGTGGATAGTGCAACAGGTATGATTGTAATGATTTATTTAC